TTGGCAAAATGTTCATTTTGATCGTCGCAATTCTTCCCAGCATCGATAGTTGTACTTTATCCCATTTCTCCAAGTTGTTCTGTATCTCCTTCATGAATTTCATGTAGTTATCTTTAAACAATGTGCTTGTCTTCTTTGTAATTTGTATCCCTGGATATCGAATTTTCTGCTCCTGCCGTTCTTGTTCTCTCATGTTTTAGTGAGTATTTTGGTCTTCTTTTGATTTATTCTCATTCCTGCCATGTCACCAAAATTTTTTAACATTGCCATCAAATCTTCTATTGAATACAGTGGATCTTCCAATATGATGACTAAATCATCCGCAAAAGCTTGGAGCTTATAGACTTGTCCTTTTACTTTTAATCCTTTCACTTCCTTTTTATCTCTAATTTGGTCATTTAATATTTCTAGAGTCAAAATAAATAGGAGTGGAGACAGAGGACACCCCTGTCTAGTGCCTTTCTGTATTTGAATTTCTTTTGACAACTCGCCATTTATTCTTACTTTTGCCTTTTTTTCAGTATATATTGCTTTAATTAGTTTCATAAATCTTTCTCCAACTTGCAGTGTTTCCAACGTATGTAACAAAAAGTTCCAATCAAGATTATCGAAGGCTTTCTCTGCATCCAAGAATATCATGGCCATCTGTTTCTCCAGGTGCGCTTCATAATATTCCAAGGAATTTAAGACTATCCTTATATTATTCTTCATCTGTCTTTTAGGAAAGAACCCAGACTGATCTTGGTGTATCAGGTGGATTAAGGTTCTTTTCATTCTAGTTGACAGAATAGCCGTACAGTGCTGCCTCGCATAGCGAGGTTAATCCGTTCCGGATTAACCCTCGCTATGCAGAAACATCGCTGAACGGAACGGGGAAAGCCATAGAAACGCATTGAACTTCGTTCAATGCATTCCTATGGCTTGAGAACTCACCGTTAAGCGATGTTCCTCCATAGCGCCGCCATGGTAAGCGAGGGCAGGGCGCGAAAATGCGGCGCGGACCTTCTGGCGGCCATTTTGGAACCGCCGATCAGCTGTTCTCCTCCGCTTCGTTATGCGATATTCGCTAAGCAAACCGCTTAGCAAACATCGCAAAGCGAAAAAACTCCATAGGGGCCATCGCTGAGCGAATGCTCCAGCGATGGCCCGGAGTCCCTCGTTAAGCGATTTACTCGCTCAACAGGGCGCCCGTTAAGCACCACACCACTGTATATATTTTGTAGACCACATTCAACAATGAAATCGGCCTATAATTTTGTATTTCTTTACCTTCCGTGTTTTCTTTGTGTATAAGAGAGATTGTCGCTTCAGTTTGCTGGTATTAAGCGAGGCACCACTGTATATATTTTGTAGACCACATTCAACAATGAAATCGGCCTATAATTTTGTATTTCTTTACCTTCCGTGTTTTCTTTGTGTATAAGAGAGATTGTCGCTTCAGTCCATGTTGCTGGTATTTTCCCCTCTTCTTCGACATATTCTAGCAGCTTTTTAAATGGCTGAAGTAGTACTTCTTCCAGTTCTTTGTAATATTCCGCTGGTAGCCCATCTGGGCCTGGTGCTTTCCCCTTTTTTTTTGTTTTTTAAGGGCTTCCATAATTTCTGCATGTGTTATAGGAGCCACCTCCTTTGACCCTTGACCGGCTTGGCTAATCAAAGCAGCCACACCTGTAACAACTTAATGGGCCACTGCCCTCAAGGAGACACTCCTTAAGCCCATAAGGAAGAAACCAAGTCTAGCGGTGGACAACACTGGCACTTATGGCCCGCCGCCAATGTCTCTTTCCTCAGCAAAGTGATAGAGAGGGTGGTGGCTGATCAGCTTCAGGCCCTTTTGGATGAAACCAACGCCCTGGATCCATTCCAGTTGGGCTTCAGGCCACGCCATGCCACGGAAATGGCACTGGTTGCCCTGTTTGATGATCTGTTGAGGGAGGCCGACAGGGCAAAACGTCTCTGCTGGTTGTCCTCAATATCTCAGCCGCCCTTGATACCATCAACCATGGTATCCTTCTGAGGAGGCTCTCCAAGTTAGGAATTGGTGGTCTGAAGCTTGCCTGGCTCCGATCCTTCCTGGAGGACCGTCCTCAGAGAGTACAACTTCTGGAGAGTGCATAGAGTCTCATAGAGTCTCAATTGTGGGGTTCTGCTTGATTATCTCCCCAATGCTGTATTATATCTAAATGAGGCTGCTCAGCAGGGTCGTCAGTACACTGATGACACCCAGCTCTACATCTTTTTTCCAACAACCGTGGATGGAGTTCCATCTCTTCAGTGCTACCTGGAGACGGTTCTACGATGGATGCAGGAGAATGGACTGAGGCTGAACTCAGACAAGACGGAGGTCCTTAGGGTGGGTGGCCCTGCCATCGGTCGTCTGGGAAACTCCGTCTCTTTTGGGGGAGCGACTCTCACAGTGAGGCTCGTAGCTTGGGGTCCATCTGGATCCAGCGCTTACCATAGAAACCCAGGTGGCGTCAGTGGTCCATTTCGCCTATTTCCATCTCAGGCAGATTGCCCAGCTGCGTCCCTATCTTTAGGTTGGGGTGCTCACCACTCTGGTCCATGCGCTTGTAGTCTTGAGATTAGACTACTGTTATGTGGAGATTGATGTGGAAGCTTCAAATGATGCAGAATGCTGCGACTAGACTTCTCACGGGGGTGAGAAAATATCAACATATTTCCCCTACTTTAGCTGCTCTGCATTAGCTGCCCGTTCGCTTCCACGTTGATTTCAAAGTGTTAATGATGACATATAAAGCCCTAAACGGTTTAGGACCTCGATATGTAGTGGAACACCTCCTCCCACCTAGATCTACTCAAATCACTCATTCTAGTCAGGACAGGCGGCTGAAGGATCTAAATCTGAGAGAGGCTTGGAGAGAAAGAACAAGAAACAGGGCCTTCTCAGCAGTGACCCCCCCCCCGGCCACCTTTAGAACAATCTGCCCACAGAGATTTGCCTGGCCCCCTCGCTGGGTGTTTTAAGAGAAAACTTAAGACCTGGCTCTTTAGGCAGGCTTTCCCTCCTATCATCACTTAATTACTTTTGCCATCTTGAATTATATTATTAATGTTGCCTCTATTTTCTATATTGTTTTTATTTTTATGTTTTATTGTTAGCCACCCAAAGTAGACTTTGGTCCAGATGGGCAGGGTATAAACTGAATGAATGAATGAATGAATGAATGAATGAATGAATGAATGAATGAATAAATATCACCAACTATTGCCGTTTTTAATATAATTAACAATGACTATATTAATTATTATAATGGTCAAAGTAGCAAGATTAATATTTGCAAAAAATTGGGTGATGGTGGCACGGGGGAACATTTTTGTATTAGTGCATGGTACGTATGTACGTATACACACTTTATGTTAGTATTGTTGCCTGCTGAAGAAACGGGAAAGCTAGAGTGGACGCAACCCAACACTATTTTATAGAGAGGCTACACCCAATGCCAACACAGCTACAGTGAAATCCAACTCTCCAAGAAATGAGGAAGTTCCTTTTATTTTTTTTAAAGAAGTGTGCCGAAAGATTCCCAAATGGCCCATGCAAGAGCATGCCAAAAAACCTGGTGCAAGTTGTGCGCTGTCTCTCTCACTCTGAACACCCACCATTACGTCAATGTCTACTTGCAAAGGTACTTGTAAAACAGGAACAAAATGAAGGAAGGGAATCTGGTTGTGTCCAGATCACTAGAGGAAAGCACCCAAGCACCCACATACAGCTTCCTGCTGTTGCTACTACCTGTCTCTGTGTATGGTTCACAAGCTGCACAGTAGCAGAGAAAAAGGCAATTCAAAGGGTGATTAAGATGGCCCAAAACATCATTGGCTGTTCACTCCTCTCTTTGGAAGAATTGTATAAGAACAGATGTAAGAGGAAGATATCTAACATACTGAAAGACTCCTCTCATCCGGGACATCAGCTCTTTAAATTATTACCATCGGGAAGGAGATTCAGGGTATTGAAAGCAAGGACAAGCAGATTCAAGAGCAGCTTTTACCCAAGTGCAGTATTGAGTTTAAATGCGGTTTTTGGTGGAATTTTAATTGCTGGGAGAAACGGGGTATCTATATTTGTATGGTGAGTGTTGTGTATATTTTTAACTTTTTTTTTGTAGTGGTGTTGTCGTTTTACCTTGGGGAAGAGCACCTCATTTCGTTGCACCTACTTGTGAGTGCAATGACAAATAAATTTCTTATGTCTTATGTCTTCTACCACCACCACCCCAAATGCTACTAGGTGGAAGACCCATAGGTCCTTTGCCCCACCACACAGTCTGAGCAAATGTGTCTTTATACAAAACTGCCAGGGGATTTCAAAATGACTTCTGAAAGCTAGGTGAATTGGAAAGAGTTAGTGCAATGAGATCAAAGCCTTGTTGGCAAAAGAAATGTTAGGATCTCCTCAGCCAATTATGCTAATAATTGGTTGATGGGGTTGTTCAACTGAACAGTCCCCTTCCTTTCACTCATGCCCCAGAAGGTGTCGGGGGGGGGATGGGCAGCAAATGTAAAAAAACACCAAGCCAAGCCTCCAACTTCATCACTTCCTTCCAGTGACTCCATTCAGACCTTGCAGCAGTGGCTGGGAGGCACACAGACCACCCTCAGTTTTCAGCTCTCTGTCTGAAGTCGTTTGTGGTCGCCAGAGGTCCCCCATCCCAGCACCACACTGAGCTTCAGGCTGAATAGACAACACGATGCCAGCGACATCAGCAACCCTATGTTCCTGCTTGCCCACCTCCACAGCTGATCACTCACCCTCCGCGGGAAGCTCGTCCAGCAACAGCCCGGTCATCACTGGCCAGTCCTTCAGCAGAGCAGCAGCACAGTCCCACAGGCTGTCTACCAAATAGGTCATGTGGTCATGGAACTGTGGGGGGGGGGAATAGCAAAGAAGTAACACCCACCAGGCAAGACATTCCTGGCTGGCAATGTTGTAGAAAAAATGATCATCCCAAAGACATGTTACAGTGCAGTTGCTGGGAAAGGTAACAAGTCCCGCTCTAAACAACCCAGAACTTTTTATATATAACATGTCAACTAAAGAACAGCTAAAATGCCGTTAAGACACTGCCCCCCAACCTTTTCTGAATTGCAGACCGTTTGGGGGGGCGGGGTCCGTGTGCAGGGGCACCATGTGCTTGTGGGTGGGCAGAGTGCACTTGCAGATGGGAGGGGCATGTTGGAGCACAGCGCTCTCACAGAGGGCAGGGGCGTGCTTACGCAGAGGGCCAGGGCATGTTTGCGGGAGGGGGGGGACGTGCTCACGTGCATGTGTGGAGGGGCGGGGTGCGCTCATGGAGGCGTGGGGTGTGTGCGGGGGTGGGAGATCTGTCTCCATGGCCCAGTCCTGCCATGGCCATAGACTGGCACCGGGCTGCAGACGGGGGTTGGGGACCCCTGCAGTAATATACTTATTTAAAACTAAGGGAATATAAACAAATAAAGATAATTACTGCAGTTACCCAGTGTGGTGTAGTGGATAGCATCGGACTAGGATTCTGGAGACCAGGGTTTGAATCCCCGACACATGCAAACTAATTGGGGGTGGATGGGTTAGGAGTGTGTGTGAAACGGATAAAACCATTCCTTAAATATCTCACTTTCCTTGAAAGCCCTATTAGGGTCACTGTAAGTCAGTTCCGACTTGACGGCTAACAACAACAGTATTAAAAGGAAAACATACACATTTATTTAAAATATTTCACAAATAATTAAGTCTACAATAATAACCCTAAGTGATAATTACATGCACCCCACATCTAGATAACCTCTAAGAGACAAGGCTGAGTTCATGCCCCTCCCTCAAAGGCAAGGGTCACTGAGGAATAAAAAGTCCCACAATGGGCTACGGTGTCACGAGAAGAGCCCTGGGTAGCCAACCATTCGCTCTTTGTTGATAAAGGTTAAAGATCTACAGTGGTGCCTTGCTTAACAACATTAATCCGTTCCAGGAAAAGTGTTGCTAAGGAATTTCGTCGCTAAGCGATTTTTAAAGGGCCATAGAAATGCATTAAAACGTGAAAACAATATGGTTCAATTGACAAAAGCCACATTTTCCACTTAAAAATGAGAGAAAGCCAAATACAACGGTGCCTCGCACAGCGATCATTCCGTATAGCGAAGAAATCGCTTTGTGACACTGTTTTTGCGATCACAAAACTGATCGCTTTGCGATGGCCCCTATGGGGAAAATTCGCTTTGCGATGATCGCAGGGAAGCGATCATCGCAAAGCCCCCATTTTCAGCCAGCTGCCCCATTTTTGGCCAGCTGATCGGTGGGGAAGCAATCATCGCAAAGTCTCCATTTTCGCAGAGCTGATCGGCGGAGGCTTCAAAGCCACCGCTGATCAGCTCTGCAAAAATGGGGGTTTTGCAATGATCATTTCCCCGTGATTATCGCAAAGTGAATTTTCCCCACAGGGGCCATCGCAAAGCGATTTCATCATAAAACAGAGCGATTGCTATGCGAGGCACCACTGTACTCAGAATTTGGCTTACCTGTTTATCATTAATAATTAAGGGACACACTACCAGTAAGAGTAACAAACTAAACAACGTCTAAAAAAAGTTTATAAAATCAAGTTATGTGCTGTCAAGTCCAAACTGATTTATAGTGACTCCTAATAGGGCTTTCAAGGCAAGTGAGATGTTTAAGGAATTGTTTTACCAGTGCCATGCCCCCAGGAGCAGATCTTAACACCAGGCCTCCTGAGTATTAGTCAATCATTTATTCAGTACACTACTACACTGGGTATCACTAAGTTAAGTATAAGCAGTAAATTCTGAATCAGGCATGTAAAAGGTAAATCTCTCTTCTGTAAATTGTTAATGGCTCAGTGGTCTGGGGATCTGGCTGTGGAACCAGAGGTTGGGAGTTCAATTTCCCTCTGTGTCTCCTGTGAGCAGAGCCAGCCTGGGTGGCCTTGGGAACACCTGCAGTCCCAGAGCTCCCCCTGGAAGAAGGGAAAGGTAAACCACTTCTGAGGATTCTCTACCTGCCATATATCAACCCTGATGGTGTATGACTATCGCTCGCTTGCAAGCAAACAAGCTCGCTCAAATTTATGGAAGAGGAGGTAACTCTTTACAAATACCATTTGACATTGAAAGCGTAAGAAAGCTTCCTCTTTATTATTAAGAAATTTGTGACCATGTTAGCTGACCAGATTCAGAGCTGATACTTAGGACTCCCTTTCACACCAGCCATTCTCCACCTTTTTTTTTTTTTTTTTTTTGGCCACAGCCCTTTCAGGAGCTCTTCTCAAATATAGGTACTTCTTCACTGAACACAGAAACTAGAGCTGAACAGATTTCTTCTGCTACTAATTTTTGTTAACAACACTTGAATCAACCTGAAACATCTGACTGGAATGCAGGGATTACTTCCGACAAGTGTGCCTTAATGCAAGGGCTCCAGATGGAGTGCACTCAGTAAAGACCTCTTTCTGGAGAGACTTCCACCTCACCTCACTTTCAATGAAGAAGAGAAGGAGCGACTGAAGGAAGACCTGGCTGCTCTGGTGGCGCTCCTCTATCTTGGTGCATGCTGTGGGCACAAGCAACCTGCAAGCCAAACCGCTCTCATTAGAAAAGTGGGGACAGGGAGAGGTTTGGAGTCAGCACTATGGTTAGGGTTTCTGCCCTTAACCCTAAACCTTCAAGGAAGAGTAAGGGAAGGCAGCAGGGAGGGGCAGGAGAGGCCTTGGAGTCTCTCCTGTACCCTGGAGAGGAAGGAGGGGAGCCAGACATCACTCACTTCTTATATAAGAATTCGCCAGCAGCAGCAGCTATGGGCCGGCTGGAAGCAAACACAAGCGGAAAGACGTTTTCGCAGTCAGAGTCCGTGAGCACATCACCCATATTCCTGTGCGGAGATCAGGCTTCAGTAAATTAGTGGGAAAGGGCTGAAATTCTGTATGCAGAAGGTCCCTAAAGAACTTCAGCCTCTGGCTGCATCCTCAGGGAAGGCTGAAAGCACTGCCCAATCACACTGCTGAGAGCCTATGCAGCCGACACCAAGCCAGAGAGACCACCAGGCTGACCGTATACATTCTGAGAGGGGATGCATGAAACATGGCTCAAGCCCTACCCAAGCCTCCCTCCACGTTACTCACTGAAGAATTAAGGTGAGCAGCCTGACAGCTTCCACAGCCACCTGGGGCTCCTTATCAAGGACCATGGAGACCATCCGCTCCTGCAGGAAACAAGACAGGTACACGGGTAGGGGACAGCAGCGCACCCGCCCATCTGCCCATGGTGCCGACATCCAACATCCACTTGAGAATGTGAGCACCAGACATGTTCTTAAACACAAGATCACAATGTTTAGAGCTGGTCCCCTCTGCCCATATAAATGTGTCTGCTGGCTAATGTCACCTGGTGAGACTCTACTGGATCCTAGTTGTTTTTGCTTTACAGCACCATACTATTTGTATCTGTTTTTCATTCTACAGAAACCCTCAGTTTAAAGAAATAATAATAAGGCTGAATCCGTGCTCCACCCAAACAACATTCAGACCACAGGGCGACAGAGATGCGGTATTACCAGGAGGCACTAGGTGGCGCTAACCAGTAGAATTCCCCAGAGAGATGAAGACGCCAAGCAATAAATCAGTGTTGATAGCAGAACAGTTGTATTATTTACAGAATATATACATACATGTACAGCTTAGTCCTTGTTTCCAGTCCCGAAGTCATACACAGCAGTTTCAACAGAGTTCAATGCATAAATCAGAGTCAAAGTCCTTGTAAATTATTTCAGCAGTCATATACCATATTTTCAGTCCAGTAGTCAGAGTACTTCTCCCAATATTCAGCACGAAGACACGGCTTCTTCCAGAACACTCCAGTACAGCACCACGATGACACCACTCCACGACGACACCACAGAGTGTGTGTGCTAGGTCTGCTAGCTTTATCCCAGGGTTAGCCAATCCTGGGATTTCTTCCTCCGCTGTTGCAAGTCTTGTATTAACTCCGCTGTAGGGAATAATTAATAATTCCCAGGAAACCATTACTTGGGGACCAGCCCCAGGCAACAGTTGAATTGAATACCAGGGAGAGATCTCTGATAGAATGAAGACAGACAGATTGCAGTCTTTAGTTATGAAGCATATCACCGGTGAGGAGGATGTCTGCCTGTTAACAACGAGTCCTGTTAACAATGTGTTCTCCTCCTCCCCGGAGGCATGTCTTTTTTATTATGTAGCATCATTTAAATAAAGATAAGAGTTAGCCAACGAAACGTCGTGTTCTACACATTCCAGAAATTCCACACACACGCAGAGAGAGAATCACAGAACAATGTTTGGTTAGGCTAAGCACCACTGATGTACCCCTTAATAGCCACAAGATGGAGCTCTAAACTAAGATCCTACATTCCCTCCGTTTTTATTATATTTTGGATAAGCAAAATGCTGCCAATAAGACTCTGATAGCTTCTGATTCCATGAAACCTCTTCATAAAAATCCTCATCTACTCTAGAAAGTAACACATATCAGGTTGATACAGTTGCTTAACAGAAAAAGACAGTGATTTTACAATTTTTGATAACACAGTGAAAACATTAATCAATTAAGGAATACATCATATAAAATGGTATATAAGACAATACAGATTATCAATAAAATAATACCATATGTTAGTAGTATGCAAAGCCATCCCATAGGGAAGTGTTAATATTAATAATAATTGCATCACACAAATCAGCTAATTTATGCTAAATAGAATGCTGCAAATTATGGAAGCAAAATAATACTTTGAGTATCTATTACAGTACAAAAGCCTGTATGAATATGTGCAAGCAAATAGCGATGCTCTATCTGAAAGCTACATTAACTGGTCTTCAGTATTTCACTCTGCAGATCTACCATAATTCATGCAGTAGCATTAACTGTTTTTTCCAGGCGACAAGTCAGAACCTAAATGCTATGCCTGTTCTTGTGCAGAAATGCCTGGATATGACCCTAGTGTGAGCACACCTGTAATAACATTTGGGTGCCCACTATTATTCCATCCTTAAAACCCTTAAGCATAACCTGGATGAAAATTGATAGCCTATAGATCAAAAAAGAACCAGAAATTTGGATCTTGATAGATACATAGACTTATAGAAAATACCAGAATTAGCTAATAAGCTCTATGTTCTGTCCCATCAGCAGAACCATTTACCAACATTTCCCTCTGTTTTTTGTGTTTTTTGTTTTTGAAACCATCCATCACTAGTTATACACGTGAGAAAGTTCTGTGTCTAGGGATCCATGTCGTTCAGTCATCGAGTGGCAGCAAAATCCATCTTTGCGCAATCAGCAAGTCATAAGCATCATTTTCATGGAGGATATGATATTCAGCCTGGTAACTGCTGAGGGCTAAAAGAATTAGCTGGCACAGTCCAATGACAGCCGTATCACAGCGTAAATTAAAGAAAACGCAATATTGGATAACTAAAATTACAA